TTTTATTATAAACGTCGACCTTAAGGATTTAATTGATAGTTGATTTTGAAACTATAATATAATGGTACATATAATTTTAAAAGTCTAAACATTGTAACAGATATTGTGAATATTTTCCATGTTATAAGATAATACTAGTCGTTGCTTAATTTTTCTTTTTTACGTTTAAACTTTAAAGAACCGTTCTGTATATCGCTGTAGAGCAATAATTTCTTTAGTAGACTTTAGTCTGCAAGAAAATAATAAAAAAGTGAATTATCTTGTATTTTTTACACAATTAGTGCTATACATAAGCGTGCGCAGATATACTCGGAAGTGTAGTCATGTTGATAATATACATAAGTATTCACTTTAAAGACTTTAAACTTATAGGCCTGTTCTAACAATTATTCAGGAGGGGCTACACAGTTCACGTTTATGTTACTACAACGTTATTATGTTATAATATAACATGAATTGATAGTTGAAGTGGTATTAGAATATTCCAAGTGGATCTTCGGGAGAATTTACCATTAGAGCAACATGATTAATAGGTATAAATCATGAAGTCGTTTTATCATATTAAATATAATGGTTAAGTTGTAACCACTACTGATGCTGTTATAAACATTGTAAATTTATTCCTTCTACTCATAATTATAAATATTTATTTCCATACTGAATCAGTAATTTTTAGATAAGTAAACTTTCAGTTGAGATAGGTATCCTTTTTTAAAATATAATTATTTTGTATGCGTTTGTGTAAACATGTTTAAACATTTCGTTTAAATAACGTTGACCCTTAGATGTTTTTATTCGAGCATATACATTTAAAAAAGTATCATGAAAAATTTAAAAATGTATGGTATTTAAAAGTTATACAATTTTGTAGTAGAAACTAGAAATACCGAAGTATTTTACTTTCAAATTATAATGCTACACTTTGTTGTCAAGAAGTAAGAGTTTTCACTACCTATCTGGAATTACAAACTCTGGTGATGAATAGCATTATTGTTCGACGTTTTAAATAAAATAACATGTTATGATAATATTATAGTCTCGTAATGTATGTACATATAACCATTAAAAACCCAATATGTTTGTAAAAGAAAATATCAAAACGTTACTAGGTAGTAGGTACCTTTTATTAATCCCAAGAGTCAACGAAATAGACTTATAACAAGAAAATATATTAATATCGGGGTATATAGAAAAAAAAATAATTCAGCTCGTTTTAGTATCAACTATTTGGTATAGGTTGAAGATATAGGTATGTAAATTGTAACGTATGTTATGTATTTCACAATGAAAATATGTATTTATTTTGACAAGTATTTTTTTTTTTCATGTCTTTAACAAATGTTTCTTTTTGGAAATGATAGGCGTGATATAATATATGAGATGTGTTTTATTTTATCTAATTGTTAATTTGCGAAGTGCTCAAAAGCTCAAATATTTTTTATGTATACGTTTTTTTTAATTTATGAGAATTCTAAATGAATAGTAATTTATTGTACCAATATGAACTTTTCCCGTATAATTTGTATTGGTCCATTTACGTTAATTTTGATTTAATATCTTCAAAAAACAGTGATGATAATGACATGAAATAGATAACTCGTAAGGTATACCTAGCGGCGAGCACTCACATAAATAACAATAAGCGATTACGCTCGATGATAAGCATTATATTAAATGTAAGTTAAATTTAAATAACCTTTAATCGTTGACCGTTGTACATTTTTAATTATAATATGTTGATATGTCCGAACTCCAAATCTTATTTTATTTTACTTACTCACATTCACAAAATTATGCATATTATGGTTTAATCATTTCAAACGCACGGTGTTTATAATATAGTAAATTGTAAATACTCAATTGATTTGAAAATTGTTCAATTTAAATCAATGATACGAATTGTCGTTTAAGAACATTTTTTTTTTGTTTTGATTTGGTATTCACTTGTATACAATTTAAAGATGACTAAATGTAGATAGGTATATATAACATGATATTATATTAAGCCTTGACGGTAGCAGTGGCGATTTCCCACTGTTAAGCCCCCCTCACGCAGCACCAATTAGAACTTCTCTTGGTAACCTATTTTATAAAATATACAATATACATGTTATTAAATATAATATTGTGAATGTAGGTACAGTGTAGGTACACTGTACACGTAATATTATGGGATCACTCATAAAATATCATAATATGATGCAATTACACCATACATTGAATATTATACTATTACTTCATAGACCAAATAATAGTTTATTTTAAACACAGATTTATAATTTTATACTTACAAAAAACAATTTTTAAATGATTCGGTTGATGAAAAAAATGTTAATAATAGTAGTAATAATAACAAAGCAATTACATTATTATTTATTATATTATTACACTACACAATACACATAGTTCTCCTTCTCATTATATTCCATATTGGGTAGGTACGGTACCAAAATAGTTTTCCAATAAAACAGAATTTGTTTTATAAATAATGCCATAACTGGATTATAATGAAATGTCATCAACTACAATGTATAATGTATATACATTATAAATTATAATATTGTAATTTGTATTCACATTAAAATAATAATTCACGTGTCAATATAGTATGGGTATACTAATTTACATAATAATAATAATACTGTATAGTATAGTATATTATACTTAGGAATATAATAATACACGTGAACCCAGATACGGCATTTGTGTAATTGTGTGATAGGTTTTTTTTTACTTATTTTTAGGAAATCTACATGACGATGAAAAGCAACGGCTTTTATAATTAACAGATTACCCAAAATTGTTCTTTAATTATTGTATAGCGTCTATACCAACCCGCAGTTTTTAGTTTACTTATTTTGGTTAAAATACGACTGACAGTGCTGCAGTATATCTACATCGACCGGGTACTGTTAATACGAATGTCAAGTGGTTTTCTGCACTTTGTCAGTCCGACAGGAAAGTGTAGTGTTTGGCCAAAACACAATCCTTAATATTTTTTTGGGTAAAAATTCTACCGGCTTTAATGTGATTGTAGTAAAAAGACAGAAATGAAATAAAAATGTTCTCAGTCATAACACTCATAACGTAGGATAATAAAATTAACATTTTCTCGTTAAAATATCTTATTTGAAATGTACAAAATGTTTATGCTATCTTTTATCAACTGCCGAGCGGGTTAACCACTATAACCTTGTTCAAAAATTTTAATTATGCTTAGTTACTCATAATAATTTTCGCCCTAAATGTATACCATGATAATAATAATGTATATAGCTTCTTGTGAGTTTTTGTTGAAACGCAATTAATTTATGTTTCTCCGGAACTAAGAAAAAAAAATGATTTATTTGCTGAGGAATCGTATTTGGCTATACAATATTTATATATTAGGTATATTTTATATAACACTATTTACACCAATAGTTTTATAATTTTTCTTTATTAAAGTCTTTAATGGTATTATTCATAGTATTATTTTAGAAACAGGACGATAAGGCCGGGCAACCGGAGAGGTATATATTCATCTTTATTAGACGAATGGAAATCTGAGATGGATCGAACCACGTAATGCGAGCCTTATTATACCACGTTGTTATAATATTATACGTGTGATAGATTTTCATAGTTATGAATATTGTTCACCGAGCGGTGTGTACTTTTATTGTGTTACGTGGTATCGAGTATTGGTGTTGAATGTTAATAAAAAATGTAGACAGACTATTTCATTGTAAATACCTGCGATGTGTTTCAGATCTGGATTTCACAACGTTATTTTGTAAATCGACTGCAATAGTAATTAATATACAAATCTCTTACGTATGTTTATATTTTTATGTAGTAAGCATTATGTGTGATATATTTATGTAAAACATTGAAATTTCCATTCCATACAAATTTCAAGTTTAACGAAAATGTAAGATACTTTATCGTTTTATTTTTAAACTACTTTTTAATATTAAGAAAATCCATCATAGCTTACATTCACGCTGTGGTACGGCGGTGTATACAATTTGTATACACTCATAATCATAAATACGTTATTAAAAAAAAAATCATATTTTGTGGAACGTAATTGAATTTCCATAAAATCATTAGAACTCTTACACGGTGTACTGTTTATGACAGGCGTATAATAATATATATTTACAAAAAAAAACTTACTATAACCATTTGCATTGGTGTAAGAAAAAATATATGAATTTAAATATTAGGCACAAAAAATTATATAAAAAAAAATACAATTGTTATCGCTTACATACAAAAAAAGTAACTCTTACTTTGCTCACAATTATATATTTTGTAAATTACATTTATTATTGCGATGTTTACACGGGAATTTAATATTTATTATTTACCGTATAACACTGTTGTTTTTGACTTAAAATAATTTCATTAAATATAACTTACCATGAACAAATTTATTTCTAAATTAGCATGACAGACAAGTAGATATTTTATATTATTTACTCATTCGATTATTAGATTTTGTGGTAATTTAATGTCTAACCGAATTCTGGGATATCCGTTAGAATGTTATAATTGTATACTCCAATAAGCAATTGGTAATTTTTTAAACATTACACCTTCAGAATGGGTTTCTAAAAGCGAAAGTACTTTTTACTAAACAATATCGTTTGGATGGAAATTGGACATAATATTATTATAATAATGTAGTAGGGTAATTTAACTCGCAATATTATATCATATATTTTCTTTGAACATAATTATTATTTATTACATTTTCTCTATGATAATAATTTAAAAGTAAATGTTTTTTAACACAATTAATACAAATTTAAAATTTGTATATTATACTGCATAGGTACTTAAATAATAAATTATTTTATACTTAAATAGTCTTATGAAGTATTCTCTTAAGTACATACAATATACAAAACATAGGTAAGTTATATTTTTAACCTTAAACACTCGGGCTTCTTAATATTTATGTTGATTAAAACATATTTAAAACTAAATTGTTGTGATTTCTGACCTTTAGGTTTTGTACATTTGTAATTTTGAATTCTGAACCCAATTTTTTTTTATTTGGATTAAGGCTTCAATTTCTAAATTCATTAGCTTGGTACTGTGTATGGGAAAGGTTGGTTGGAACAAGTTTGTATGTGTGGTAAGAATGTGTTGCTAAAAACCCAAGTGGTCACCCATCCCAGTGCTAGCAACGACGGCAGATACGTACAATCGGAAAGTTGCCGCAGATTGTGAGTACAGCCACCCCTTGGCCCTCAACAAACACAACCTGAACATGTTTTTGTTAAATGTTGACACAGTCGTTTATTACTAAGCGTATACTACTTATGGCCTTATTTTTTAGTACTAAGTCTATAGTTCAGTTTATCATATTATATCTAGAGTTTAGTTAAGTGTAACAGGTAATAATTTTCTGTACTAATACGCAAAGTGTTGAAGTCAGATCATCAGATCATAGGACACGTTAAAAAAATATTACAATATTATATGTACCAACACTAGGCAATTGAAAATACCATTGTCAATAAAATGCAAAACCTTAAAAATGATGTTGATAAATATATAATAATAAAGGTACATCTGTGTCTTAATAGAAAATATGTAAAAATAAATAAAATTTAATAAATAAGTCAATATACAATTCTACAACTTCTAATGGAATTAGAAGACGATATTCTTGAGTTGAAATATAATATGAATCGATTTTATACGTACCGTTTGGCACATAATTTAAAATTTGTACATTTATAATTTATTGTACAGGTGCACCATCAAAAGATTTGATACGTTTAAATTTGTATAATGCCGTAGTCAACAAACACCCAGTGAAGTATTCGTATAATACGATAAGTGTGTGTGGCTCAGATCTCCTGGTAATCACACAGTTTCTGAACTATGTCGTTGTCGAGCCGTTCAGTCTTGTGAAAGTCCATTTGTATTTCAGTGAACGATTTTCGCTTGGTCTCCGGCATGAACAGGCAACAAAATAGGCCACCGGCCAGGGAAGCAGCCGAGTAGACAGCGAAGTTTGCGGAGGCGCCGAGGGCGTCGGCCACCAGCTGGTAGCTTGTAATCATGACCGTGGACGTGATCGTGACGGCCATCACGACGGCCGTGTCGGCCAGGGCCCGAGTGTCAGACGGGAAGTACTCGCACTGGATGACGGACAGCAAGGGCATTAGACCAATGTTGATGAAGAACTGGGCTCCAGCTATTGGCCAGAACAGAGGCTGCCAACTACTGCCGACGACGTCCCGCCGGCAGAGAACGGTGGCCATGACCGCGTGGCATGCGGCTGTGCCGAAACACGAGACGATCATCAGTGGCCGCCGGCCGCACCGGTCCACAACCAGCGCGAACGGCACGGCTGCCACCAACACGACCAGGCCCAAGTAGACAGCGGACGCGTTGGCCGAAATATTGGTGCCCGACATGATGGATGCCGCGTACGCCTCCAACACTCCCGCCCCACAGGCCATTTGCAGCACGGCCAACACAATGACGATCACCAGCGGGTGACGGTCTCTGTTTAACAGGTCTCCGACGCTCCCTTTATCCCTGTTAAAATAATGTCAACAACTACATTATAAATTCTATTAGCCATACATTATAATTAGGTGTATTATGCAAAGGAATTATGAGACGATTCACCGGAGAACATTAAAAATTCGGCGGAAATTCCGAGTGAGTACGAGCTGAAATAAAAATTTAAGTGATTCAACAAGAAATTCTGGTGAAATTTATGTTTCACTAATCTATAATAGGAGACAACCATTTTCGGAGGGCAAACCCAATTCAATTTTTTTAGTCGAATGATCACATACGTGTAATGTGCATTTATTTGATATATTTTAACAATAATAATGATATTTGACTTGGCCTTATTTTTAGGGTGGAGAGTATTCATCGTATATATCTAGCCTTCTAACCGTTCAAAAGTGTAGCACCAACATGGATCACGCATCGGAATAATTCATCCAAATACGATAGTTGTATGAATACAGACAAATAGGTATACGGTATACCTACGTTTGCAAGCAGGCCTCATGTGATTTAGTATATTGTAATCATATCGTTGTACCGTACTGGGGTGACGATATTTTAGGTATATTATATCCTGCGCTCGCAGATTATAGATACATATTATATGTATATAGTTTATACGGAACGAAGTCGCCGGGGCACGTGTAGGAGAGGGAAAACCAATTTTGTTTTTCGTAGTTGTTTTTTTTTCTCGCGGGTCTTCCGAAATTGCTATAAATATTTACACGGCTTTCCTTTTGTTGGTGTACCGTTTGACGAGATCAAAAAAAAAAAAAAAGCGAAGCGATAAACACAATTCCCTCAAGACAATCTCAACCGAATACTGGTAAATTAATTTAAAAAGTTGTTCACAAACACGTTGCAGAATAGGTACATAAAAAAGTCACGGCGTAAAAAAATATTAAAAAACCCTACCTTTAATAATAACAGAAAATAACAAAAAATGTACTTGTAACGAACCTAACTCAATCGTTTTGATTAAAGTATAGCGTGACATTCATATACTTTATAAAAAATATATTAATAGTATAAATATTTAATGATGTTATTAATCGTTGATGAATACCTAGATAATAGGTAGGAAATAGTCACCAAAATCGATTGAATATGATAATATGGCCAACCTCGGCATTTGTTCACACTTTTTATTGTACAATGTATAATATTATTTAACTTGAACGTAAATACGAGTAGTAGTATACATTTATTGCTTATACCTAATATCAAAACAATGTTAACAACTTAAAGTTTATTTTAAATAGGTAGTAGGTACTCGACACTCGTACATTTATTTTATCTTACCATATTATTGTTTGTACACACAATAACACACTAACCTTTATTCGTTGTCTTTGTTAACATTAGAGTTTTTCAACCCTATTTTGTATAATATGTTTACTTCTAAGAAAATAAATTATACCTTTGTTGTGAACAAAAAAACATCGTGTTTACCTGCTTAAAAGAATGTTTATGCTTATAATTTCAACATGAAGTAATGATTGTATCACTGAAAACGTAGTTTTATTATTCATATATTTTGATATTGGCGTTGACATAAAAATATGAGCTCTTGTTTTAAAAATGTAATTTTATTTAAACACATAACTTGCGCATAACTGTTGACTTTTTTTATTTTATTGGTAGGTAATAAACATCACGTTTAATGCAATTACAAACTTTTTCGTGTTGTGTGCCTCAGAGGGAATAAAAATTAATTTGGTAAGGATACACCTCGAGTAAACGTATTTATTAAATAAAAAAACCCAGAGGCCTATACTCCCTGCAGGTTTCAACGACACACATTAATATTATTGCATTATATTATACTGTTCTGTATGCGCGCGAGTGTATACAATGTATATTATAAATTATAATATTGTATTTATACATATCAGAGATGCGTTCCTCTAAGGATAAACTGTACGTAATATCATGTGTGCCTATACGTTATATTATGTAGAAGCATATTTTAAAATATGTACAATTTGTAAAACGAATATAAATAGGGTATTAATTATTATAACGAAAAAAAAAAAATAAAAAAATATGGACACCTAAATAAGTATTAATTTCACATACATCAACTGTATATACACATATATACTTATATATTTAGACCATAAAATACAAGCGAGATAGTTGATATATATATATATACGTACATATATAATATATATATATATATACACACATATATTTATTATATTGAATTATATTTTATACAAACATTTGAACGACGATATGAACGGCGTATAGCCGCCTAAGTCCGTGAATATAAATGATACGATAAAAATCCCTAATGTGGATGCTTCTCATGACATTCGAACACGCTCTACTCTCATCGCAAATGTACGTTATATGTACCCATCGGGGTTTACTGAATTTGATGTAGGTTGTATATTATGGAAACTTCTACTGGCAAAAAAAGAAACGCTTCTTCGCAAACAAGACAGCGGCACTAAAGTTGTAGAGGGACACGATGACACAATATAGACACACACGATTTTGCATAATATGTAATATATATTGTATTGTATGGTTATACTTATAATGCAGTTTACGGACGATTGTCACTATAATAGCACCTTTATACGCCAGAGCAGTCATCGTTATAATTTGAAACTAGATATAACTTGACATTGCCGTTTACTCGGAGAAAGTGTTCTATTCAATTTGCCTGGACGTCATCATTGTTATATTAACTCGATAAGGAACTTGATAATATTATAAATTCAACAAATAACTTTTTCAAAGTTTTTCTTCTGGAGTTTCCGACAGCCTACCATTTCCAATTCAGAACGTATTTTTTTGAATGAACATTTCAAAAATTTAAATTTCCTACAAACAACACCCGCTGTAATGCACACGCATTAGTGTGACACATTTATACCTGTCGTTTGAAATGGAGCTTTTAACGGACAACAGTTCGGCCTGTAGATCATCGTCAGTGTAACTCCGCAGAGACCACAGGCACACGGCCGCCTCTTCCGGTCGACCGTCCAGCATCAGATAGTACGGCGACTCCGGCAGGAACAGGAACAGCGCTCCGGACACGACCGCGACGCAAGCTGACGCGGCGGTCAGTGCGATATAGTCGGCTAGAAACCAACCAGCCGAGTACGAGAACAGCAGGCCAAACGCGTAGCTGAGCTGCACCAACAGGCTGAGCTTGCCACGTATCTGGAAGCTGGCCATCTCACCGACGTACGCCGGAACCACCACCCATGCGATTCCCACGGCGGCCCCCTGGAGCAGCCTGGCCACGAACAGACACCAAGCCTGAAACGTGGAATATAATGAATTTATAGTTTTATAATTTAATTATAAGTTTAATCCTTGAAAACTTTAATCATCATGGTTAATCATATATGAAGTTTTTTTTCCAAACATTTGTGATGACACGTAAGTCTACTTCAAGACCATAATCTATATTATAATCATTATATTATATGATTAATCATAGGCTCATTGAGCATACATTATTATAAAATGTACCGTTGATTTTGTTTAGTTTATTTGATATTCTTATAAACATATCCCCAAAGCCCATATATTTAAACTTTCAAAATTTTTAGGAAAATATTTAGTAGGCGTATATACCTGACCTGTTTTCAAAACACTATTGCTATATATTCGTTCGAAAAACGATATTTGTAGGGGGGGGGGGAAGTGAAATTTAGGGGTATGGTCACGCAAGCACATGCTAATGATTATGTGATAATTAATATTAACACTTGAAAAACTTTTGAATTTGAACTATTTTGTGATGGCCATGTTTGAATTATAAAAATGGTTTTTGTGAACAAATTAACAACGATGTAGTTTCCGAATATGCAATTACATAGGGAATTAAGAACACATATTTTATGTTAAGAGACAAATTTCTACTGCAGCCCTCCTTTTTTTTTGATTTTACGCTTATAGAAATTGCGTGCAAATACATAACTATTCGACCATACATAATCATAATAATTAATTAAATTGAACTAGAAATTAAGTAACTTTATGTAACTAATGGCTTTTGCTGCAGAGTTGTATAAGACAAATAAAAAAAAATAATATAGGTACAATAAATATCTATAATATATTTAATATTATACGCCATGATTTAATTGATTTCATATTTCTGAATAACGAAATTAAAGAATAATTTCTAAATGCCTCTTTGAAAAAAATCGCAATAGTTGTATAATATATTAATATGACATTCAATTCGAAGTTTCGTATTTAGATTGCTGATTTCCGCAAAATACCCCTTACGCGGAATCCGAACATGTTATTTTTTTTTTATTATTATTATATATTATTCACCCTATACCGTGGTCACGAGGGATCCGAAAACGACGGTAACGGCAACGGCGACGACGCGTTTTGGAAACAACGGTTTCCGTATAATATGACGTTAATATTCATTGTTTGAATACAATCTCTCAGCGCCCCCGTAATGATAAATTGCCGAGCGTGTTACTTTGTTATTATTATTATTATATGTTTGGGTTGGTATAATATATGTGTGTGTGTGTGTGTGTGTGTGTGTGTGTGTGCATGTGACATGTGTGTGTGCGAGTGTGTGTATTTGCTTGTACGGCGAGAATAACACATTATAATATTTTCACCGCACCACAAACATGGAAATTATTTTATTTCCCGAAACAACGCAGTTTTCAAACGACCCAACCCCGCAGGCGTGTATATATTAATGCGCCAGCGCGCTTAATAATAATATACTCAGCCCGGTTTTTTTTTTTTGCGAATTTCCAAACGAACGTTGTAATATTATCGTATCGTGTTGAACTAATTTTGTGCAGTTTCATATACAATATTACTCCATCGCACTGTATTGGACAATATAAAACGGTACGGTGGCGTTGATTTTCGTTTCCAACACGTTTGCATATTATAAAATAATATTATAATATGCGTTATTATTATTATTGTGATTGTTTTTTAATGCCTTTGCAGACAGACTGCTACTTCAAATTATTACAGTATAGTAGCGCCATTTTCGAGAGCAGACTCTTTAAATTGTGTAGTGATCCGTTTAGATTATTGTGCTGGAAATGTCACTGATTTTAAAACTTAATTATTATTATGATTATTATGATTACGTCTCTACTGTGTTTTTTTTGAACACTGTACACACAGCATTTGTTTCACGACAACGTCATTATAGTGTTTTTGTTATTCATTTTTCATATTTTAATTTCTTTTTTTTTTATCAAAATATGAATAATTTTCTCTTTGTGACAAATACTTTATAACGCCTACAAAAATATAATCATACCAAAACGAACACAAAGCCTAAAGATATATCTTGACATTTCAAACGCGGTATTAAAAATGAAAATGATGTAACGGATGTATCTGAAAAAAAAACTATATAAATATTTTAAAGTTACGGTAAAATATACAAATGTATTTTTATGGCTGTTCGATCATATTTGTTAACTAAGGTTTATAAAATTATTCTATTATTTTCAAAAAAATTGATTTAATTAATGTCCAATGTTTATATTATTGTATAATATAATGTTTATCCTATCTTTTGAAAGGTACCAAAAAATATATAATAATCCACAACTATTTGAATTATCTTTTATTATTAAATACAAACACAAAAATATCAGACACAATCAAACATACGGCCATGCCTCGGTGCTTACGTGCTTAAATATAATTGAACAATGCGCTACCTCAGCACATTTGTTTCATTGGCCTATTATTATAAATATCATACTGTTTTTAATTTTTTGTTTGATATAAATTTGTGTGCCCCAAACTGGTTAGCACATACAACAATCCTCATTATAACCATATAACTACCTAATAATTGCAATATTAAACATTTTTAATAAATGTAAGAATAGTTAATTATACTAATGTTTTAATTTGAAATAAATCTTTATTTGTATCATGTCTATTATTTATAAGCCTAAGTATGAATTCATATTAACAGTTAAACAATAGATAGTTTATAAAAAACAAATGTTCCATTTGTATATAAAAAACGTGTTAACTTTGTGTGTGTTGGAGATAAAAAGAAATCAGAGATATGTGTAATTTTATTGTTATATAATTTATAATATTTATAGTACCCAGAGATATATAATTCAAGTAGGTTAGTGGTGCTGTTTATCTTGTTAATAATTTGTATTTAAAAAAAAATTAGTACTAAATAATTTTTAATACAATGTAAGATATCTAAATGCGATTCTGATGACTGAATTTTGGATTCTGGCAATGCGTCACTTATATAGGAGATTACTTATATATATACTTCCTATACCTTCATGCGTATAATATATTGGAGGTCGATGCACACGGGTCACCGGGTCGCCTTCGGGTCGCCTAACTTTTCCACACCCAACCATCCGTGCGTACACGAGTTTACCTAACTAAAACCAATTACAATATAGAGTTCTCTTTCTCTCTCCCTCAAAAAAAGTGTCCCGCGTGGCATAACAGCAAAAATCGCCGCACGACCGAAATACTATACAACAATACTTAAAGACCAGGTATACATCAACGCATACATTAAATATAATCGATAGCGTTGACGCATTCGATTTTCCTGTCATAGTTTCTACTTGCTTGTTAATGATATATTTAGTAAAACGAACCGTACGGTGAAAATCGGCAACGTTAACCATAATATGTAATGGAAATATCAAGTATAGATAATTATATTAAGTTCTAACTGCAGCCTACTGCGGCTGAGACGAATTTCATGTCATATATTATATTTGATTGTATCAACTAAGCTTTTACCATCTACCTAATACCTAGGTAGGTATGTACTCGCTGAACAACGGATATCGTTGCAAACAGGAAATGGCAAGTGAACTACCGTACTAAATAATTACATTACAATATTATTATGAATAATTAGCGTCATATACGAGTGAAATAATTCAATTCGAGTCTGTGATGTCAGACGCAGCAGTAATGGGATTGGCGGCGGTGACGACGTGTAAAACATGCGCACGACATTATAAAATATATTATAATATGATTATACTTACTTGTCGTCCAAATATTATGAACATCCATCCTGTCAACATGAGCGGTGCAGACGTGGTGACGGCGTACTTGCGGCCGATCAGGTCCATCAGCCATCCCGCGGGCACGGCCATGGCGAAGTTGCCGATGTCGATGCACGCGACCATCCACGACATCTGAGCCGGAGTCAGCGACAGGGGCGCCCGTCCGGCCAACATGTACTCCATGACCGGCGATGGCCATCCGAGCACGATTCCCGCCATGAACACGGGAAACGACGCTATGGGAACGCAACACCATAAATTAACGGCACACACCCGGGTGGGAGGGGAGGGACGGTGGACAGACCGTAGCATGATGGTGTGCTGGATAGACGAGTTGATAATATATATATGAACTGTAGTACTGCACGTCCCCCGCCATACTCTGTTAAAGCTAGCCAAGGGCTAACATTGTAAGAAAGGTATGACCTAGTCCCGGGGTGGCGAACCTATGGCACGGGTGCCAAAATAGGCACGACGGCCAAATTTCAATGGCACGTCAAAACTAGTTAAAATATTTTTTTTAACATATTTCATAATATTTTGTCCGTATTTCATAAAATAAAAGTTAACAAATAAAAGCGTAATAAAACGTGTATAGTAATTATTGCTTAACTTTTTTTAATGCCAGTGTAAAAATGCCTTTTTCGGAGGAGAGGCACTCAATTAGATTTTAACAATTTTGTTTTAAATTAAGGCACTTGACCCAAAAAAGGTTCACCACCCCTGACCTAGTCAATAGGTAGATGTGCTAGCCTGTGCATATGATGATTGATGAGACTTGGTAAAGTGTGTGCTATCTATTTTCTGAAACTATTGTTATCTATGTTACCAATTGGATTTATTTTTCTCTCTTTCTCGCTCTAGTGCTAATAATGGGTATTAATAGTCTTAAGTTGCATGCTAAATTGTTCAAACGATGTTGCACTTCGGACCTTCCTCTCAGTTGTCAGCCTATTTCTTTATAGATTATAGACCCAATATCTTTCAAACATGTTGTAACCGTGGACCAATATTATACACACACATAGTTAAATAATTCAAAAGCTACTAGTTCGAATGGGAGGTGATTGTTTGGGCGAAGGTAATAATTTTTACCAAAAAATTAAGTCTGTTTGGGTGACTATCATTTATACTGTTTAGGCGAGTAAATTTATATTTACCTGCATAAGATAAAATCTTGGTGACTGATGTGAACATTTTAAAAGAATAGGATTCATTATTAATATTTCTATTATCATTATATTGTAAATGATTTTGTTTTAGTAATAAAAAATTTTTTTTATTAATGTTGATTGTACTCATGGATGGACTGGCAGATTGAGAGATCGGGAAATTTCCCATAGGTTTTGTCGAATAATCTAACTATGGGGCCTACTAGGGCCGGGCAGTTTGGTTGTATAAGTAAATTAATAGGATTTTTATATTAAAATAATAGTGTTCTTATAAAAACTGACAAAAATAATAATGAAAGGGCAATATTTATGGGATATCGGTTTTTGAAAATAAACCTTAGACAGTGGTTTTGGGTCACTTCAAAAAAAAAATCCTATGCCACTCTGAAAGAGCCAGTCTGCCCCTGTGACTGTACCTATATCACAATAATACTATACCAATAGCTTTTCAAAATTAAAATTTTACAATCAATCATTTATTATGTATTTTATAAGTGACTACTGACTTTATTTTTTCAATATATAAATTAATTTATCACTTCTTGAATGGTATACAAAATTCAAAGTATTAAGTTTTTATGAGTTCCATTTAAAAATTCCAGATATATAATATGAATACATTCATTAAGGGAAAAAATAATATTAGGTGATTCATCCAGTGGTATAAATCGCGTCATCGGATGCAACATACAGCAACTAATGTGTACAATATGTATGTAGTAAAATATCGTTAAAACGAAATTTCATAATACCCATAAAAAAAATGTCAGCAGCTTTCCGTTATGTTTGACGATAACCTCTGTAAACCGATTAAATTCCGTTTTATTTGATTATAAATATCATCTAGTCTACAAAGCATTTATTGTATAAATAATTATTTATTTAACAAACCAAGTGATTAAGTTGTCTGTAAAACAAATAACACAATTATGTATAATAATTGATAGAGTAAAATAATTACTACAGCAATAACAATTAGAATAATTTCCAAATACCCATTACAAGTTATTGTTTGCTACAAACAAAATCTAAAATATTCGATAAGTTGAATTTTTTATTCGATGACAACCATTTGTGTGAATTCTATTTTAATAATTAATAATTTTGAAATTAAGACTATACCTACATTTTATTAATGTTAATGATATTACAACACTATGAATACTATACCTACTAATACATGCCTACACTGGAAATAAATCAGGATACATATACAAACCAATTATTTATTAATAATATGATAATGAAACACTTAGGAAGTACTTACTAAGAATACATTTTACAAATATTATTATATTAAGTAGTTGATAATTTTTAGAATAAAAGGTGTACTTATGGCTATCCTACTCTATACTTGGTGTATGACCAAATATGATGGAGTAATAAAATAATTGTAGAGACTGGTTTTAAAAAGTTTAATAATTTATTATTCCATTGTTTCGTGTGCCATGTGCATAGATACATTCCGGTTTAACGATATTTTACGGTAAACCTATATCCTGGATTGGCGAGCTATTGCAGTGGATGGTTAAGTGGGATTTAATTGGTTCAATCGTATTGGATTTAGTTTTGGAAAATGTTTGCCAAATTTGTCTAACTGCCATGCACAGTGCACACGTTAAACTTTGACACTGGTTTATCATAGAGTTCGAGGGAATTCTACGTTTTTGCTGTCAAGCATTTTAATGTAGATTTTTTCCCCTACTTGCTGCCAGTGTACGTTTTCATTTCGTGTATGGTTCTTATCGTTTTGCTGCTCTTTTTATATTTCAAAGTTTGCCACCCAACAATGCGCATAACTGTCAACTAATTAGATTTATGAATTATGATACATGGAGCCCACCTTATTTCCTTCCTTTTACTAATGAATATCTATTGTTAAAAATTTTAAATGTGTCTTATATTCTCGCTAGTCCCGTTGTTGCATGCTGTCTTATTCAAAGTCCAATTAATAATACAGTTATGTCTCATCGTTATGCTCGCTCTCAGAGATAAGAGAAATACGTCATTAATTAAAAAACAGCTAAGACATAATAATTAAATAAGGGCGATACTCGTATAGGCACTGCAGCTATATCAATATACTCTCTCCAGTATTATGTCACCGGCTATAAACAAAAATGAAGTCCATTGGTACATTTATGAGGGATTGGCGATAGTTTAAATGAGTGTAATAATTTGGACCAAAAAATAATTCGTCCTAAAGTTTTTTTTTTTTTTGTAGAATAAACAATCTAATAAATGATTAGGTCGAGATCCCACACCACCAATTAGCAGTAAAAATAATATATTAAGAATATTTTTTTAATCTAGAATAAAACATGGATAAGTTATAAACAAGTAAAGATTTTGAAGATGATAAACATTATGATAACAAAATGTTTACAAAACTACATTAAAGAACAATTGCAAAGTTCAGTACCTTAAATTAAATACTGACTCCTAGAAAAAGTTCTGGTTGCACTACTGAAACAGTCTACTTCATTCGATTTAGCATTTTCGCGTATCTATAATTTCACACGTGGATTGTAATAGTGTTACAGTAGATACTATATGGTATTTTTTGTTCAACTACAAGATTAACTCAGTTAATCTGAATGTTAAGTTTCAAGTTTCAATTAGTGATACTATATGTAAGTTCATAAAAAATATAGAACAATAAACTGCATTTTGTGCATTAATATATAACAAAAATACTTCTTCAAATATAAGGCTGTGTAGAATGTAGATATAGTTTAAAAAATGTATTTTATTTTGTTGAGATAAGATAATTTAATTATCACGCAATGATCAAAAATTATATTGTAAAAACTAATTACCAAATCTTATGGTGAAAACAATGAAAATAAATAAATCTGTGTAAATGAAATGACAATTTATACATCTACTTAAACTAGGGATCTATTCAACTTTGATTTAATTTAATAAAACAGCAGTTTAATTTGAACTTAAATCTATTGACTCTTCGGCTCTACATCATTACAGAACTAATGTGTATAAAGTTACATTAGTAAGAATCCAAAACTCAAAATCAACTTGATAACATAAACAGTTTGAATAAACCTAACTTTTGCCCTAACTTGTCAATACCACTACAACAGTATTGAATATAGGGGGGGGGGGGTTATGGGTTTAACCCTCCTGAAAATAAAACGTGTGAAAAATTATTATTATTAATTTATTGTTACAATATCGGGAATCTCGACTCAGTATTTCTATATAACATCTCCCGCAACCGAAATTAAATCCTATTTACTTATGTATTTATTTGTATTTTGTATATTTAAATTTTAAACAGGTGGAACCAATTACAAGCATAGACGTTAGACATATGTCTAGAATTTACAATAATATTTTGTTGTTACAGTGACGGTTAATCTTGAATATAATACATAAAGTAACAAATAGCGACTATAATACGCAACTACACTGCCTTGAACTAAAATATCGTATTTGTGTATTTTTTTTCAAGATTCGAAGGGGGATAAATAATAAAAAAAGCATCTGGGACTATAAGATATAGGTACAACACACTTCAACAGTACAATAGTACCCATATCTACAATATAAACAATTATTATTACGACCGAATAATATTGCGAATACTTTTTTTTTCGCTGCAACTCGTTTGCTCACAAGGCACAACGACACATATGTATATATCATTACAGACTGCAGTACAAAGCATCAAATATTCGATAGCAATAAAATCTTATAATCGATTGTGTAGATTATATTATATCATTTTGGATTTTCCGTACCTACTTACTTTTAGTATAGTTTCAGTAATAGACATCGTAGACATCAACTCTTTAATAAGGACGTATAGTTAAGTCAAAATTAAATCGACTCTAACAGCAATTTTTCGCCAATTTTATGGGTTTGTGAACCAAATGGGAATCCCAAAACGACGAATAGCGCAGAAAGTTTTCATAAACATTATAATAACCAATTTTACCACATCCACACAAACATCAAGTTATATTGATATACTCTTGCAAATCCAAAGTAAAACGGATTTTAAAATAAACTCAATACAAAACAATGTAATCCATTATCAAAACAAGGAAACCGTATGTATGGAAGAATACTTACAAAATATGTGGAGTAAATATAAAAATTAAACTATCGACCGCATAATACTCATATAAAAATATTGAAAATAAATTCCACTATACAAATAATTTAAAATATGAAGGAGTAGGAAAATGTGTGTGCAAACAAGTTTTAATACTAGGGATTTTCGTTACAGGTTGCCAAAATTTATGTGCGCTATCGAGTTGTGTTTTTTTTTTCACACAAACGAGTTGTAGTTGTTTTTTCTATGCCACAGTATTACACGGATTTGATTTTAATATTGCAAGGTTTATTGTGTTTTATGATAATAAGAGCGGCGTACATCATCATTGGTTATTATTTTACCGTTCTAATTATTATGAATAATATTATGTACAGTGTACACGATATAATATAATATAGAAACCCGACTCGTCAATGTAAATAATACATTTTAGGTTACATACGTTGTAATATAATATTATTAAAAAAAAAACAATTTATGCATAGGTGAAGTTTCATAATATTATTTATAGAATGTATACACGTGGATGACGATCGTAAGTCAGCAAGGTACAGTAAAAAATGATGGTCCAATATTATAAATTATGAGGTAATAACGAATGAGGAAAAATCGGTTTATCGGTTTTCAGAGGGTTGATGTCAGGGGACTACCCAGTGGCGTAATTTGAATCACATACATTTGTGTAGGTATTCAAAAATCTAATATTATGATAATTTCGCCCGTTTCTCAAATTGGTCGGCTGAAAATGGGTAAATTCCAGACTGCACGATTTGTGGCCTGCTTAAAATATATTCGTATAAAAAAATAACAACATTTAAAATACGCCACTGGGTAGGTACACAGACCCAGTAATATCGTAATTATATAATATGTCTTAAAAGCGTATTATAACATTATAATATTTTAGTTGAATCGACCAACCGACAATGCACGCGGCGATCTGTCTGGACGAGCCGGAGAATTGGCAAAGGTCCATCCTATTATCCCGTGATGTTCTAGTATCCTCGCGTATCCCGCAGTGACTATATATTTATATATGAACAGCTGTTTTGTTGGATTTCCGATACTTGGACAGTTTCGACAGCCGTCACCCGCCGATCGCCGATGGACCGACTACTGTAGCTGGTGGCTGCTGTAATGATATAATTGTAATGGACGGCGGATCATGTCGGGCGAGCGAAGACCATCGATAGGCGGTCAAGAGTTAGACGCGACTTATTGCGCCGACCATCGAGACGAAAATATAGACTGTGAGTAACCGCTGCATCACTAACCGATGCTCCGAGAAATTGTTGCGTGACGCGTGTGGACGCCGGCCGGCGGCGGCCACATGTTACGCTACAATATTGTCAGACGTTGTTATCATTCGACACCGCCTCCGCCTGTGATTTTTTATCATGCAGTGGTGCCGTTCATACGATATTATCGAAATATGTACGAATAACATTATATCGCGTTACATTTTCAAGACTAAACACCATAATGCGCCGCGTTTCGGCCGATGACGATAAAGATTCTTCTTCTCGTTATTACTATTATTGATAAATTAATTATCATCGTTTATAATTTATATTGTTAATGAATAATGATGATGACGGTACAACGCCCGAGGCGTGACACAAGCGACGGCCGAAAACGTTTTTCGTCAAGAAGTGTCTTAAACGTTTTAATTGTAATACCCCGAGGGACCAGATCAAGAACGGCTGACGAAAAATTGCACGATATTAAACGTGGCGACCGACGGTGGTTTTTTATTTCATTATAAATGTCACAGTAATTATCTGTCCGGCCGACGTCTTGATAAAAACATTTTTTCGTAATCATTATAAACGTTATGGTATTATAGCGCTTGGTGATATATATTTGCATTAAACGAGACAAGCGTATTATGTTTAATATTATGTATATAGGTATAAAACTGAATTTAAATAAATTAAAAGTTAGTTTATCGTTTATTTGCTCACGAAAATATTTAATTTATTATGAAACTATTATTATTATTATTATTATTCAATGATGATTATCAAACTGTCATGGTTTATTTATGAAATAAGAATTAATTTACAATCACGAATAAACCTTATTATCAAAACTTTTGTTCTGGATTTTGCGGACATTTGTAAACCACGCATGTCGAAGTGATCTAATATTTAATTTAAGCTGTAAAATAACTGAAAATATCTGACAAGGTCTGTCACAAGTTTTTTGCGATCGTCGTTTAATTTTTCTTAGTAAACTTCTAATTATACTTAGTTTTCATACAACATTTCCAACGTTTTGTTTTTGCCAACATATATTGATACTTGATGGGTATTTTTTAAACCTTAAACAAACAATACCTAGAGAAACTAATCGACCAATCAAATTTTAAACTAAACTAACTACTAGGTATTGAGTTACACATATTTATAAAAATATAAAAATAAATGTTCAGACATTATAAGTTTAAATGTTGATGAAATTAGATAGAATAATAGAACAATAAGAGTATTTTATATTAATTATTATAGAACTTTACATTTGCTGAACAATGTATATGTACTAGGTATATATGATAAATATGGCGAAATCAATAAATTCAACTACATTATAATTTGCAACATAACATTTTCATACGCCAAAATGGAGAAACGTAGGCAATCGTTGTTTACTCACATGGAAATAAGACACGCCAAAACATCATTAATATAGCTCTGGGTTGGTGATACTCTAGACCAGCGATTTCAAAGCCTTTTTTAGTTTACGCCATCCTAAAAATTAAAAAAATAAATTGCACCTCACATAAATAAATAACTATTACAGAAATCCCGGAATCAAGTTTATTATTGTTTAACGAGACTTAAAGTAATACTGACATTGTGAAATATTTTATTAGAATAATCAAGAGTCAAGACGTTACAACAAAATTATTGTTGATTAAAAAATAACAATATTTAACAAGCGACTCACGCCTCCCCTGCCAAAAGTTGGCGCCTCACAGTTTGGGAACCGCTGCTGTAGACTATAGTTAAAACTTATAGCTAGAGTTAGTTATTTTTGATGTCCGTCGTATAATCTCCAGGTGACTACGTACCTGCAGTACCGATAACATGTAAATATATAATATTATAACAATATGCGAAATAAAACATGACATCTTTTAGTTATCAATTTTATATATTTTCATTTATTTATCTCGTGAAATCATAGAATATATACATACAGACATGAAATATATAAGAAAGTACCTACTACAATGTGTTATACATAAATGTACATAATATAATATATAAATAATATGTTATGGTACAGCGATGTTTGGTAATATATTATTTTAACATTCGGTGTATAAAAATATACATAAATTAACATTGTTCGGGCGGTTTTGACGTATGGAAATTGTTTTCGATCGGTTTTCGGGCGGCGGCGGACGTAACACAGTCTCCTCCACCGAACATGTCACTAAAACCATTTATGATTGATTAGGGTCTCCGGTGCACGTTGTTTTCGGAGCAAAACGAAGCTTAACGCAATTTCCGCAACTTTATCCCTCCTCGGGACTCAAATATACGTTTATATATTACTATTATTATGTGTGTATACGGTTTCGCTAGTGTGTGCGTGCGTGCGCGTGTCTGATCACGTGTATATAATAGAGGATAACTGTCAATCAAACGCGAACGAAAAGTATGGCAGTGCGGTACGCGCCGTTCTGCCCCTTTTCGGTCTCATTGTAATGCGACGTGTCTTATTGATCACCGCGGTGGTGGATATGGTGGAAGATTCGAGATCGTAACGTCAAAAAGGAAAACCAACCGCACGTCAGCGCCGTAAAATCTCACCACCCCCTTGCCCTCCCGTCAGGGTCGTCGTACCTTTGTCCGATCGTGTGGGGTCGTTTGATGTGCGTACGTATATATTATATACAAGTATTACATAATAATGCGGGATGGCTTTTTTCCGTCGCGGAGGACAACGCTATATATGTATAAAATATATGTATTTTATACTACACCTACGTCGTACCTATAACCATATAAATAATAATATATAAACGTATAAATAGTTTAATACTATACAGAAATAAAAATGTTAAGATAATGAAATGAATAAAAAACAAGAAAACGAAAAAAACATTATAATACTATCGTTTTGTTATTATTTTGTCGGCATGGCTGCCCGCAGCAAACACCTGCAATGACGCGTACACAGGTCTAGACGCCCGTCGTGTTGGCGTGGACGGGATTTCGGCGATTTTTGCCGCGGGACGGCCGGTCGTCGATGGTTTTCATGATCTCATTCTGGATCTGAGCAAACGTCTTGCCCTTCGTCTCGGGCAGGAACCGATAGATCAGCAGGAATGACACCAGGCACCCGGTGCCGTATATGAAGTAGTTGACGTGTATGCCCCACTGGTCGGTGATCACCTGGTACATCTTGAGGCCAACGAACGATATGACGGTGAGCGTGACGGACGTGATAGCGCTGGCCAGTCCGCGGACGTTGGACGGGAACATCTCGCCCTGGAGCGTGGGCAACAGCGGCCCGAGCCCTATGCTGTAGATGACGGCGAACGATCCAATGGCCGTGAACGGTATCCAGGCGCCCAGCGACTCGAACCCGACCCACCGCTTGTAGTAGTACAGTCCGGTGACCAGCTCGAACGCACCGCACCCGAAGCACGAGAACAGCAGCAGTGGACGGCGGCCCAACTTGTCCACCAGGTAACCGGTGACGAACGTGGTGCAGAATATCAGCACGCCTAGCAACATGGTGAACTGATCCGGGGACAGCGTCTTGTCCGTATCGGCGTGGGCAAATGTGGAAGACGCGTACGCCAACACGGTGGTCATGCCAGACAGTACGTCGGCCGCGGCCACGATCTGGACGATCAGGAACGCCTTCCGGCTGCACCGGGACCCGAACAGGTCGCGCATCGACCCCTTTTCTCGGAGATCGTCCCTGGCCTCGGCCTTGATGCGCATCAGCTCGCGGACCACCACGTCCGGTTCCGCGTCACCGTGCAGCCACGCCACTGACTCGTGCGCCTTCTTGTCGTCGTCCCGAAGCACGTAGTAGTACGGCGACTCGGGTATCCACAGGCACGTGCCCAGGAACGCGCAAGGCACCAACAGCGAGTAGTATGTGAGCGCATCGTACGACACAAGCGGCCCGACGCAGTACACGTACAGTATGCCGGCGTTGAGCATGCCGTTGAAGAACGTACTGAGCGCGCCGCGGATACCGTCGCCAGCTATCTCGCCAATGTAGATTGGCGCCACCGTAGTGATGATGCCAATGCACGCGCCCTGCAGCAGCCGCACCCAGTACAGCACGCCGATCGTGTCGCTGCACAGCACCATCAGCCAGCTGACGATGTACAGGGGCCCTGTGAGTAGCAGACACGGTTTCCGGCCCACCACGTCCACGAGCACCCCGAACGGTATCGGCGACAACAGGTTGCCCAGCTCCAGCATGGCAATCATCCACGACTGTTGTTCGTTGGTGGCGGCCATCGTCAGCCCACCGTTGGACAGCTTGGCCAGCACAGGTGACGGCCAACCCAACGACGTGCCGGCCATCATTACCGACAGCGACGCTGAAAAATAAATCCACAAAAATTATAATTATTATGTAAAATATAAATTTAAATAGATAAGTGCGATAATCAGCTATCGCTAGCAAGTTTAATGCTCCGAACTGCAACCGTGTGAAATATGCCCACGTAATAATTGTGCCCTTAAAAGTTAGGAAATATCCATTCAAAATTCAAAAAAATATGCGAAATGATGTGGTTTATTTTATTCTTTTTATAAGGCACAGCTATTTTAATATAATACAGTAACTATAGTAAGTAAAATTGATGAGAGATGAGTGCAAAATACATTTTAAAACAAGCATGTGTTATAGCTATTGTAAACTAGTGAAAGCTGCTTGAAACTTAGAAGAGTATGTAATAAACCATAGGTATAAAATATTAAAAGTGTACGAAACGAATATACCTATAATACTATGAAAAATAAATGTAATACGTAGCATAATAAAATATTTTTTAAAGAATTTTTCAAAATAACTTGTCTAGTTAAAATAGTATACTTCTGTATATTGTATATATGTATCAAAAATTGGCTAAGGAAACACTGTTATATACATTTTGTAGGTATAGGAACCTACACAAGCAAAATATTTAAATAAACATTTTATACTAAAAATAGTAGATAATTTAAACGAAGTTTTTGTCTCACTCAATTTGAATTCTGATTTCTGAATGAAATTAACCTAAGTGGAACATCACTAAATTCACAACCCTGATCATTTTAATCTCTACAAGGACTTGTCGACTGTCGAATATGATATTGCACAATAAATTAATAGGCAAGTAAACAGTCTATACTCAATAGTCTATAGTCTATAGTGATATAAAATTATATAGACATTAAACTTTTTTTTATCATGAACTTTAAGTTGATCTAAATAATGTAGAACTTTTTTATGTATACACTTTCTAGAAAGAAAAAATATTTTTCTATTATTACAGTTTAAATTAATTAAAAAAATAAAATAAAAATCACTCGTATCTACCCATTAGATATGAAAATATTCTTTGTCCACATTTTAAGGATACTCCCATAGTATAGTATAGGTACAAATATAACATAAACATAGAATAAAATGAATTTTCGTGGAAAATTTTTACTCTAGATCAGTAATCAGTATAATATAATAGCTGATTGCTCCTATATAATATGGTACTATTCACATATTGTCAAATTGATTGGATCGTATTCTACCAAGAATATTTCAATGGAAACACATGATATTTTTAAGTATTTTTTTTACAAGTCCAAATATCTATTAATAAATAATATTTAATAGTAGAGATTGGATACATATGTAGACTGCAGGTGCAGATATATAATATCACGACCGAACGACTTTCGCACAACATTGTCGGCTCGATTCAGTATAGTTCACAACAACATCAAAGAACTGCTGAGAGATTGGTGATTTTATATTATATTATATCATATAGTATATATATATTATACGACCGCACTTCAACTTTATTCGCTTAGGCCGCGGTCCGACAAAGCAGCTCGAAAATAATATAATAGCCAACTTTTCATAAAGCTTTGGAGGATTTCGGACGAGTTTTACGGAATAAAGAGCGCCATTTCTACCTGTTTGAGTTTCACATAGATCTTAACATCCTTTGATGTCTGATCCGCTCCTGCGCTGATGTATCAACAAAAAAATAAAAAATAAAAACCGCGTGCGTTTCAATAAAAGATAATACACAAACATTTACGAGCGGGTAGATAACTCTTCGTATTATAACTCAGAAAAATCGAATGTTAGGTTTACGTTTTACTGTGATATTATATTTATGTCGTCGTAAACTTATATTTTATATATAAATAGTATTTTAATGTTTAATACTTAAGCGAAACATTCTTAAAAATGCATAGACTAATGCTTTGTCAAACATGTATTAGGATTTACAGAAAAATATAAGTATATTATTCAGAATGTATAATAAATGTAGTGATTCACCAAACATTTTATATCCACTTAACGGTTTAATAACGCATTTATTTAAATTCCGATTTCGATATGGTTAAGTATACTCATATAGACCATATTTTCAAATAGGTACTTAAAATAGGATTTTTTTACAGTTCAAGGAGTATCCTGTAGAAATAGTCGAATGATTTTTTTTGAAAATATTGCTGTATCAAAGTCCAAATATGAACGTGTAGTTTCTGAATATCAGAATGTATACTAAATACAATGAAGATAATAATTGTTATTACTCATTACGAGTTAGTAATGATTTTACATAAAATATAAAATTGTAAAATCAAGTTTAATAATTACTGATTATTAAACTAAGTACTGTAATAAATTTTCATACCACCATAACCACATACAACATACGTTTTAAAGCTACAGCTACTACCATAGATTCTTATATCTATAGTACCCATACTTGGAGTTTATAAACTCAGAAATATTTTAGTCATATTCGAATTATCTAAAAATACATTCTCAAAAAAATTATCTCCTTAACAAATTACAATAAAAATAACTTGAACTAAAAAATAGTATATCATCCTGCATAAATGTATGACTGAATAACTAATGTTTATTTTGCTATACCATCACCATATGTATATAATAATTTTAATACATTTAATTAGACTATTTATTTATTTGTATACTATAATTTAAATTTCAGATGACATAGAAGACTTTAAATCCAAAACTCCACATACCAAGTGTTCAGCATAAAGCAGTAATTGAAAAATTTATTGGTAAGAAATTTTTTTTAAATGATAGTTAAACTTAATCGTAGAATAGTGTATTAAAAAATATTATCAAATAGTGTAAGTCATGTTTCCCTATTTAAATACGTTTAATTGTTATCAAAAAAATTTAAAAGAAGCTAGTATTATTAAAAAAAAATACATTTATTTGAGAAGCTTGTTCCTTTATATAATTATTATCTAAGATAAGGTAAGACTAGACAACTAAAATTATACAATGGTACAATGGTACAATGTATATATGTTTATGATAAAAGTTGGTAACCTTAAATATTTTAAAAATTTGAACTAAACAAAAATGAAGAAGAAAAAACTATAAAGGTACCCAAATAGGATCCATTATTCATTATTTTTATTTTTATTTTTATTTATACCTATCATAAAAATATGTATACTGTAATTGTCGGTAAAAATTAATTTTTTTGCAATTTTAAATACATTTAATGATTGATAGCGACTATACATATTTATTCATTAAATATTAAAAAATAAACTGTAAAAAAAATGTTTTAATTTTTAATACTAAGTAGAAATAGATTAATTTGTAGGTGACTTAAATTAAATTTTGATAATAAATAAAACAGTTAATAACAAATTTAAATTAACTAGATATTTTGTTAGTATATTATAATCAAATCGAATATTTTGTATAATATATTAATTTTTATCTAATTAATTAAAAGAAGAATTAAACTCAGTTGCGCTCTATAACAGTATAACTTCACTTATACTATACAGTATACAAAATATATTATTATTCCTATATTTTCACGATAATGGGTTTGTTTGACTGTTTTTCGTTTACAAATAATGAGTCCAAATTTGCATCACAAGGGAATACAAAATTAATAAATCATAAAATTGAAAATGCATTAACGAGGTCTGAACTCTAAAGTAAGAATAACATTCAGATTTTCATTTAACAGCACAGCAGTTACTAAAATAACAATTGGTAGGTATTAGTTAAAATCCATGCAAAATGAGAGTAAAACAATAATGAAAATAACATATAAAATTAAATAATATATGAATATATATACTATATTTTTACCTAGTTGTGTAGTATATAGTATATACTAGTATAGCATAAATAAAATTGGTTTAGAATGTTTAGATTGATAACCTAGAATGGATTTATTGCAAGGTACAACAGCATAAAATATAAATCTCTCCAGGGGGAGGGGGGGAGGGCTTTAATAAAATACTACTGTAAATATATTTTATATAAACATAGAGCTATATGTTAATTAAAACTGACGTGAAATTGTAAGAATAATATCAGAGGTATAATGTTACCAAATAATTATTTTATAAAAATAATTAAATTCAGCCAAAATGTAAAAAAAAAATAATAACTTGTACTGTACAATTTGATATTTTTTCGACAAAATTAGTGTTATTAACTTTAAAATGTTCTGATTTTTATTTTTTATTTGTATTATGCATTCTATACAGAACTTAAGTGGAGAAACTGCCCATTTACGATACTCTTCTAAATGTCAGGATGATTAAATTATAAAATGTAATATGAATTTATTATGTGTTACCGACGATTTATGTAATTATGTATGTTATACGTGATAATCGTAATAAAATAAAAGTAAAATACAAAATTTCTTTTAAATAAGTAAGTAGACTTTACTTAAATTGAAAAGTTTCAAAAGTTTCCTCCTAACAAGTTTTTTCTAGTGCTATAGTTAAAAAAAATTTAATTTTAAAACCAAAGCAACTTTATTTTGCTGCTTTTTAGCATTTGTTTTTTTTTTCATAATTACGGTCATATTCGTTATCATAATATATGTAAACTTAACATGAATGCAATAGTTTAATTACTCGTAATAAATATACGTTTTACGCTTTTCCTCTGTGATATTGAATAACTAAAAAGTTGGATGGGTACGTGGAATCCATAGAATGCAAATCTGATAGAATGGATCTAAAACCCAAACCTTTTTACGTTTATGATATACATCATTGATGTACAGTGTTCATATACAAGAGAAATTTAATGTACTTGTAATTACAAGGTTGAAATGGCGCACAAAAGTTAAGTAAAAGTTTTCCTGTTGAACAGTACGTATAGTGCTGTTGTGGTTGAACATTGCTCTTATTTCTATACAATTAATTATCTAGGTACTTTGTATATAATAATATAAAAAATAATGTATTGAGTTAAGAATTTTGAATTTGACATTAGAACTCTACCTATAATGGATTGTTTAAAAGTTGATATTATACGAGTAAGTGACCAGATATTTAAAAAAAATAAAGTATAACAAATTAAACATCCTTTATTCATTTTGAAACATGACTGATATATTATATCATACTTTTCTAATCTTACTATTAACTAAAAAATGTACCTATTTATTATACATATCGATATAGTTTGAATTAAATGTTAAATCATGAATTTTCGTAAAATATTGATAAGGACGCATTTTATTATTTTTATACAAATTAAAGTTGTCAACAATTTTATGCATTTCATAATTAGGTTATTTAAAATAAAATTTCCTTTTGAAATTGTTACATCATTTATAATAAGTACTTTTTGATGTATTTCAGCAATTTATTTAGGATAATAAGACTTGTCTTCAAAAAGAAATACTGTTCTTGTAAATTAAGTACGTCTCGTCACCATATATATGAAGCCATACAAGCAATAACAGCAATTGGTCTTAAAGCCTAAAGGTTGTAGATTATTGCAGGCGTTTAATGAAAATGAAATCACTAGATAACTACATGACGTGTACGATTGTTATAATGATGACAGTTTTTATTAATATTATGCAAGTTACTGAGTTCATGTCTATCAACATTTTCAAAATAAATATTGATAACCAAAATGAATACTACAGAACAAATAAATTATTATGTATCTAAATGATTTGAAAGTGTCACATCATATGAATATTTTAAATTTTAAATATCAAAGAAAGAATAAAAAAGATTTATATTTTTGTAATAATCAAAACATTGAAATTAATTATGCAACTAAAACAATAGTTTAATATTTATGACTATAAATGGCACTTGTATAAAAAGTAATAAATATAAAAAGTTAATAAAAATATAAATGATATATTATGTGGGTTCCTTTATATATTACAACGTTTTTACACATTAAATTATATCAGTGGCGTATTTTGATAACTTTTCTGGCGGGGGAAGGGAGAATTTTCATAAAAATAATCGATTAATCATCAATAGCAATTACATATAGGTAGATTACTTAATAAATATTAAAATATAACGATATAAAACTGTTTGAAATTTTTAAGTAAAAATAAAAACAGTTATTAGGTAATTAATAACTTGGAAAAATTAAGCTTTGAACATTTTTTATAATAACTTATGCATTAGAACTAATTATACTAATTTAATCATATTACAAAATAAATGTGTGAATAATGTAAAGTAATATTTATAATTTTGTTATTATTTCAGTTGTAACTGGATTTAAACATTTTCAAATAAACGTTTTAATTGTTTACACATCAATATTTAATATTATAATTATATCGTATCAACTATTAAACGATTATGATATTATAACATTCGATGATTAAGTGTATAGACAAAAGGTCGGCGCGTACAAAAACTTGTTGACAATCTCGTTTTGCGTTTTTACATAAAGAACAATTGCCTCGTGGATAGAGGAAAGAAAACATAACGCTTTTTTCGCTTCAGAAGTCATGCAGTAGAAGATTTACGAGTCGACGGGGGGTTTGTCGGATTTACCTGTGAGACTAAAACCAAGCAATATTAACTTTTCGGGAACTTTTTGATTATTTCGTCCATTTCTCACATCCGGTGTTACAAAAACCGCTGTGTCCCGGGTACGAAAATCCACTCACCCGGGGTATACAAATATTTATTTATATATGTATATTATATATAATATTATAATATACGTATATACCGATGTACAAAGTATACACTAACCTATATATAAGCTGATATATAAATGTATATATATAAGAGTATAGAACGTAACGATTTCCTAATGGAAAAATTCACGACCCACATTTTTCACTTTTGCAAAGCCGATCGTCCGTTTTTACCGAATTTGTATGCGCAGTCGAAACCTGAATAAAGCTATTAGAAAAGAAAAAAAAAATGAGCAAGCGCAGGAAAAACAGCAAATATACACGGGCCTCTCTCCCCTCTGTGTACAACACACACACACACACACACACACTCATTTTTTGATGTGTGAATGTGAAAAAAATAATCGTCATGAAACCGACATGCGAGTATAAACGTGATAAGAGTTTCGGACGACGACACGACGACGTCCGGCAAAGAGAGTGCAAATGATCATTTGACAGCGCGTTGTGTTTAAATAAGCGTTTTTCCGCCATACATATAAATATACGGTGGGCGCCATGTGTTCTGAACAGTTTAGAAAACGAAGGGATGCTTTTGTGACCGCACCAGCCATTAACTTGTAACGGGTTAATGGAATTTCCCTATACATACTACATATACGCGAGGGGGTATATATATTATACGACCGGGCCAGCCGATGTTTTTCACGACCCGGGACGCAAAAGGGATTTGGGAGTGTGTGTGTATGTGTGTGTGTGTGTGTGTGTGCGTGCGTGTGTGGTGTGCGCGCGCGTGCTTGAGTGCGAGAGAGAGAGAGAGGGAATATGAGCGCCCGTAGAGTGAGAGAGAGATTAGAAAAAAAAATTTGATTTACGACAAGCGTTATTATGGCTTTTGATATTCACTTCTGGGTCGGATATAATATTATTATTATTATTATATGGAATTTGGCGAATCCGTGCGATTGTAGACGAGGTGTATACGGGCGACACTCGCCTTTACTTTGCACCGAGGATAAACTACGTATGCCTGCTAGCTATTACGTATTTACTATTTTAACAAAAGGTATAGTCTTCCACGGTGTTGGCTGTAAATTACGTGCGTATTATTTTATACACGAGCATCTATTACGTCCCGATCGAGCCCTGATTCAA